TATTAAACATCCCATCTGTTGTCAACAATAAGGGTGGTCTCCTCTAAGAAAGTGCTCTGTGGTTTTATGGGGTTTTTCTTGCTGCCGCTGTTCCTGAGCCTGAAGGCCACAACATCAGATTATCAGAAATGAAGAGAATAAATAATAAATAGCTCCCATGTCTTGGGCTGGCTTGTTTTCAGCATGGGGAGCTGTGCTCTGTTGACTTAAGTGTCTCTGACAGTTCCAGCTAGATGTGACATTTTTCACTTTGGGCGAGATCATGCAGTTGCCCCCATCCTGAGAAAGGGCAGCAAGCAGCTGTGCTAACCCAAGAACAAATCAGGGACTGAATTTTGATGCTTCGGGTGGTCTCTGGAGTTGCTCGGGAGGTTGTTCTGCTGTGCCAGCAACTAGCAGTGGGGAGCGGAGCCCATGATAGCCGGCCGTCGCTACGAGGCACGGGAATATAATTGATCCAGGTGTGCTTGCTCAGTGAATGAACAGGAATCCTCAAACCGCTGCTTGAATGCATAAGGCAGATGAAAGTTGAACCCCTCTCTATCTTGAACCCCTTTGGTGGGTACTGGCAAGCTACCACCCCATTCTGCCTCAATGATAGCAGGTGTGATTATAATCTTCTATGCTGCAATGCATTTCTAGATCCTTTCAGGTGAAAGGCATTACCTGAACGGAAGTCATGGTTCCCACAGTGTTGTTTACTGCATTTATTACTTGCTTTATTCCACCACAGAAAAGGCTACATTTCAGGAAATGGTTTGCCCAGCAAAGTGCTTTGGGATCCAGCCAGGTGGAAGGCACTAAATAAACATAACGGTCCTAGTAAATTGGCTCATAAAAAAAAATAAGGTCCAATTATGCGCCACGGATGGCAATGCAGCCGACTTGAAAGGCACAGTCCTGCCTCCGCTGGAAAACTCCTGTTGATTGATGGACACAGCGTTTTTAACTCACCCCTCTCCTTCCAAAAAACCTTCATTATGAAACAAAGGTAACTCCACAGTGTTAGACCAGTGCTGCTCTTGTTGGACATTGAGCTGGACATTGTCCCAGCCCCTGGTATAGCACTGCTTTTCTTTAGATGCAGCGGCAGAAATACCAGGTTAGGCTTGTAAGTGGTTGGAAGACTGCGCCTGGCTGGTTTGACAAACATGGGGCTAATTATTTGAGCGTCACTTTCTTAAGAACTGACCCCTCGGACTGCTCCTTTCACATATTTGAAGCAAAGAAATCTTGCGATACACACTAAGGGCCCAGATCAATTGCGAATGAGCCTGACTTCTGCTACTATTCTGAAATAGAGGAAATTTGGCTCCTTTTCAGGGTCCGGATTTACAACTAATGAGTTTTGCTTGAGTAAGGAGTGGGTAAATGCTGCATGGAAGGTGCCAGGATTTAGCTGTACGTGGATCGGTTAATTGCCAGTCCGCTTATTTGGAAGTGACTGAGACACACATGATTATTTCCTAGCTATCGTGCTATAAGAATCTTCCTCTTGATATAACCATGAGCCCTTATGATGCTAGACGCATCTTAAAACTTCAGATCCTGGAGGCACTTGATTGTGTGTGAATCTCAGCTTTCATTAAAATGAAAAGCTTTCCAGCCCTTGTAAAAAATGAGAAAGAAAGAAAAAAAAGGAGAAGAAAAAGCTTGAAAATATGACTCAAGAGCATCTTAAAAGCTGGAAAGCCAGAAAGCAAATAAAAAGAGCCCCAAATATATTTTTCAACAATTGAATGATTTTTTAAACCAGTCCCATAATTTCAGGGGGAAGGGGGGAGCACTTGATTGTAATTTTGAAATACTTGGTTCCTCAGACCCGCAGGAGATGCTGAGGGTCTGAGCCAAACCAGATTGAAGCAAGACTCCCATTTTTCTCAGCCTGCATGGGTTGAGACCCTGACTCATCCTGTTCCCTTTGCACTGCACTGTGTCCTTACTGCACCATATCAAAAATCTTTTTCAGATACTAGAGAAAGGAAGCCCTTACCCTTTGATTATTCTGCCCCAATTTGGGGGGTACTGGATTGAAGACCCAGAGAATCTCAGCACACCCACCTCCTCGGATAGCAGCATCTGTGAAGAGGAAGAGGAAAACCTCAGCCCGAGCACATACGGCTATAAGCTGGAATGCAAAGGTGAAGCCAGAGCATACAGGAAACACTTTCTAGGGAAGGTCAGTGGATAAGAAGTGCCTGTATTTCTCGGTGTCCGTGTCTAGTGGCTGTGATGCACAGGTGTTCGTTAGGAGATCTAATTAGGGAAGTTGGTTGAAAATGTTTGATTATTTTTTTCTTCTTCAAATTTTTGAAACCCTCTTTGATGAAGGTGGGAGTGAAATCTCATTTAGCTCTTTTGTTAAGCCTAGTCTCATAATTTGTGCTCACTTAGATGATATCTGTAAGTATCTGTGAGTGCCCCCTCCCCTATCCTTTGTATTTAAATTCGCTTCTGGTTGGAAGTCTTTTCATAATATCTGAAATGTCACCTACGAAAGCTTTTGACTCCTTGAACTAGTTTGTCTCTAAGGTGCTACCCTGCCCTGCTTCTGTTTATATATTTGTGGTCACATGATGGCAGTGATTAGAAATCCTGTTCCTGTCTTCACTCAGGACTTTTTCACTCGAAAGCTGTGAGATTTCAAGGAGTGATTTGAATGAAAATAGTGATGCATTGGGAGACCCAGGCAAACCTCTTCTAAAGCTTGTCACTAGTCCCCTGATTCATAATCATAACCTCATTTATATTGCACAATGATTATAGTGATAATGAAATTAAAATTTAGCCATGGCCCCACACCACAACATTTGGATGAAGATCCAAATTTTCCTGTTTTGCTTCCTTTTGTGGCGGGGGGCGAATAGCAGGAGCTGTTTGGCTCTGGATTTCCAGCTCAGACATTTCACACAGACATTGGATGAATGATAATTTCTTTGAAATCTGAACCTTTCACTGATCTCCTGGCAGTTGGCATTCTCAACCCTTCTATTGCTTTATGCTGCGGGAAAAAGCCTTATTTACTTTTGTCGATCGCCTTATTGTAATGCGCTTTGTCCCGGTGAACGGACCAAGAGGAGAATATTAAAGTCTACAGGCAGAAAAAATAAATCAGCCCTTTCAGATTCCCAATGGATGGAGATACAGAGCGTTTGCAAGTGAGGTGCTGGAGAATATCTTAAAACGGGAATGAGTCATCTGTTCCCTCTTGGCATACGGGCCAGTGTCTAAGTAGCGTTCTGGGTAGCAGGGATAGATGTTGTTGCCATTAGTGGGCTGCCTTATCACACTGTTAACACATCTCCTCTATTTTTAGGATCATTTAAATTTCTATTGTACAGCCAGCAGCCTAGGAAATCTGATCCTTTCTATTAAGTGTGAAGAGGCAGATGGCACTGAATATTTAAGGATTATTCTCAGGTACGATGGGGAAAAAACCCAGGAGGTTAAACAAAAATGTCTCTTCAAATGCTCTTTGATGTGTTTTATCACTCTAAAGATGCACAGGGGCTGGGTACCCATGGGGGGTTACACGGAGGAGGTGGTAAGAAAACAAGTATTTTACTGTCTCTGGATTGGGAATACAATATCTTCTTTGCTCTAGTGTGAGCAGTAGACTTTGATCTATAGCTAAGCCCTCTGAAACTGAATATAAAAATCTCTGTAAGTATATTGGATAATATCAATCTTATTTAGCACCATCCTTTCTGTAAACTGATGAGACCTGATGCATCTGAATTACTTTCTTATTCCCTCCCTCTCTCAAAATATGAATATTTTAACATAACAAAACTGCAGGGATAGGAAAGAAATTGAGGCATCGGTTACTAGCCATGCCTAGAAAATTCAGCAGAGTATCATTTCCAAACATCTGGAAGAGTTTCCTGCTGTGCTTTTTAGAGTACGTTGCAAACATGGTCATTATTAGTATGCACAGAAGCACCAATAACCGATCAGTATGTCATAACTTATCTCATGCTGTCTGTGCTGCTCTTTTCCTTAGGTCCAAAGTGAAAACCTTACATGAACGTATCCCCCTGGCAGGACTTAACAAGCTTCCTAGTATCCCACAGATTGCAAAGGTAAGGTGTCTTATTGACTTTAGAGACACGGTTTGCTAGATATGGAACTGACAGATGCACCATGAAGAGTTTAGCAAATGCAAATCCCGTGCTGCTATATCCTCTCTCCTGGTCACAGGAGGTAGGATTCTTAAATATCTAGAGCAGAGAACAGTATCCAGATTGTAGGATTCTGTTCCAGGCTCTGTTAACTGGCTGTGTGGCATTGGGCATGTCACTAAACTGCTTTGTGGCTCAGTTTTCCCATCTGTAAAGTGGGGTGAATATAATAGGTACCTCTGAGGAGCAGCATGAGCCATAGGTTACATCTACTGTGTAGTTACAGTGATTGCAGTATGAGACCTGTGCTGCATGTTTATTGGCTACCTTTTGAATAGGAGTAACTGTCCAGCCAGGGCATCACAGAGCTCAACACAGGCTGCTGTTTGTGATGAGAAACAGGAAAAATTAGCTTCATGTTAACCTCTGTGGGTAGCTTAAAACTCACTCAGGTACCTCTCTGTTAAACCTTCTCTCTTGATTCGAGTGATTGCAGTATAGACTAATGATTGTAAATCTCAGTGATCTTTGAGACCTTTGAGTTGTGCTTTAGGAGCACTGCATGAGGTATTATTGGTGGTTGTTATTGCATGTTACACATGACAGCAAG